ATCGGCTTTCACTGTGGACGAAGCGGAGTCCAGCCCGGGGTCGCCACATGTGGTTGCCGCAAGCCCGCCAGACGCTCCTTCATTGAATACGCCGGCCGCGCCGTTCTCAAGCCCACCCACTTCTGCTCACTCTAACCCTCCAGCCTTTCCTCACTTTATCCCCCGGCCTCTGCTCACTCTAACCCTCCGGCCGTTCCTCACTATAGCCCCCCGGCCTCTGCTCACTCTAGGCCGCCGTGTGTGACGCTGTTTCGTTTTGAAAGCGAAACTACTTTGTTTGGCCTTCCAAAAATGGACACGACTAGAAATCAGTGGTTAAGTTGTATTTACAACACTGTTCCAGAACACTTCAACCCAAATATTCAGATGTGTGAAGCACATTTTATGGAGGACTGTTTCCTGATCCTGGGAGAGTAGACTACAATGCCGGCTGTTCTGACTCAAAGACTGTAAGTACGTTTTTTATATTTAAAGAGTTTTTATATTTTATATATTTAAAGCAAGTTTTTTGAGCAGTGTAGAGTAGCGCTTGTTGTTTGTCATTTCTCCGATCACAAATGCAGACATGGTTTTATGTTTATGCAGCGCGATGCAACGCAACGCGTAAAAAGACAGTATAAGTAATTATAATCCGTAATAATATCCCCACTGGATGCTACAAATGCCTCGTTTATAATGGGTTTTAATGTTTTTGTCTCGTCGCTCCGGCCGGACAGGGCATCATCACAGTATGGTAAGGGGCGTACTATTTCTATCTCACGCTTGAGGTATTCGGCCAATCACAACGCTCTAGATAGCTGGCCAATCAGAGCACACCTCGCTTTACAGAACGATGAGCTTTGTAAACATCGATGCGTTTCAGAAAGGCGGGGCATAGAGGAGAAACAATAATGTACAGTATGTGGAAAATAATGTGTTTTTTGAACCTTAAACCGCATAAACACATTTCATTACACCAAATACACAAAATAATCTTCTTTTTAGCAGCATCATATGACCCCTTTAAAAGTAAATAATTGTAATAATGCCCTCTTAATAATAATAATAATATTATTCAGTATGAGTTCAAATAAACACATGAAAGGGAACTGGAACCTTTTTTTGATGGGACTGTCTGTCAGGATACACAGGACAAAAATGTAGGGAAACATTTACAGTGAAATTAAAATTTTAATAAAATACTATACCCATTTACCTTTTTCACTTACAAAAGTTTAAAAATTTTTGAAAGCTGTGTTTAAAATCATGTGCACTTTAATGCGATAGACTCCAATTAGTGGTGTAAAACAGTTTTATACTACAGAAGGCAGAGGCACTATGGATCACATGACCATGAAACACAGGAAACAAATAAGCCTGCTAATAAGAGGCATTTCTACAATGACTTCGCTTGTGCATGACCCTACACTGATAAATGTCAGTAAAGTCCAGAACACTGTCATCTTAAGCAGAACAAATATTATTTAGTGTAACTGTAATGCTCAGAGAATGTGTTTAGACTTTATACTCAAGAAATTGAATTCATGCATACATTCAATTTCTTTTGACGCTGGTGGCAACATAAATACTCTCTTCATCTCCAAGTAGCCGTTTTAGTCTTGTGGACCATCCTGTTTACACCAGGGGCCGTATGTATAAAGCCGCTCAGAGTAAAATTGTAGTTTTAAGTGTGTCAAAATTCTTAGAATTACGCAATTTTACTCCTATTCCTAGACTTAAGAATAAGTGTGATTCATAAAGGTTCCTAAGTGTTAAGACTAGGTCTCAGCTCCTAAATGATTTAAGAGAGCTGGAAAGGTCTCCTAACCTAGTTAGGAGTAACAAGCAAAAGGAGGAGACACACTTTCCAACGAAGATATGACATATTGGAGTTACATGTTGATAAAATGATACAAACTTGAACGCCAAGATAGTCAATTCTTTTTGTAACTGACCAAGTAAGAAATGTAATAACTTCTTCCACTCTACAAATCAATGCTCTAACTGCAGAAATGAAAGTAGTAACATTTTTTGGCTGGAAAATTGGAAAAAATGCAGCAATGCACCGGTAATGACACAGTAAGCAGGGTCTTAAATATTGAGGCACTAATCCCACCAAACACAACAGTGGCCAAAAGTGATGTGTGGAGGGTTTTTTTAATGACCCCACATTTCACTTAAACCATTCAAATACTAGGGAAAAAACACTGACCAGTGTTGCCAACTGCTTTGAACTGAAAGTAGCTTAAACAGTTGCTAAATGTTGCTAGATTATGTCAGAATGGCAAGTTCACTGATCTATATACATATAGATCAGTGGGGGAGTCTTGGAATCTAGATAAGGTTTGTCCAAGAAATTGATTTTGTTGCTAGGCTTTTGAAAAAAGTCTCAAAAGGGGTGAGGAAGTCACTGAATCTAGTGACAAAATCACTAAATTGGCAACATTCAGTTATTGATATTTCGTTGGTCCTCTTGTTTTTGCATGTGTTCATAATTTCTTTGTATGACAGCATGGCCAAAAAGTATGACCACACAATTTGGTATGTTTCATTGCATTATTATCACAAATTAAACAATTGACTCAGAGCAACTATGCAACATGCTTACAAAATCTTTAACACTTTTTTTTTAAAATAAGGGTGAAGATGTCAAATTTCCTAGGCCGGACATCCATTTTGGCCACTACTATTTGGCAGTTCATTGACCTTCCAACTGACCGTCAACCCATGCTGCAAAAACAAGCCACTTTTATGAGGATTGTGGGCTTTCCTGGAATTGTTGGAGCCGTTGATGGAACGCATGTTCACGTCATTGATCCAACTGTAAAGGAGGAGAAATACCAATAGAATACAATTTCAAAGCATCAGTAATCATTTGTGATAATTTTGCACAATGCAAAGCATTTTTTAAAAATACATTTAAATATTAAAATATTTCAGTGTCTTAATTAAATTATTTTTTTAATAGTTACATTAAATGATTGGTGTTGTGCTGCTGTGACTTCACATGAGCAGGCTCACTATTGGCTGATTCAGAGGTTGAGGTCAGCCATTTTGAGTTGACATCATTGTAGTCTTTAGTTCACAACACTTAAGTGTCACCTCAGTCAACACTTAAGAATCAGTCTTAGACTTTACTGAAAGTTGCTTTTAGCTTCTTTATAAAGGTATCCTACTCTTAGACAAGTCCTACTTTTTACTAAATTTTTTTTTGACACTTAAGTCAAAGCTTAAGACTATTCTTAAGAGCATTTCTGAGAAGTTTTATACATACAGGCCCAGAGGTATTAATACTGGTTTTGGTTGAGACGATAGTCTGCTGAGACCAAGTACAGTTGTTATAATACTATAGTTGTCATTAGTTGTTATAATCGCATATAATTGTTATTTTATCACCTGAGATGCATGTAAACAACAGGTGCAAGGACTAACCAGTAGTGCAGGTGATGCAGATAAAAGCATTGCTCTGAAACATTAGCTCGGAAAGCAAACTGCAGAGGGTCTTGCATGGTTCAGTCATGATTTTCTGCGATGCAGGATGGGTCTTTCAAAGCACTCACGTACATGAAAACAGAGGTCAATTCAACTATTACCCATTCTGGCAAGAAACTCCGTTTCGTCTGAGCTGCTTGAAGATTTCCATTCTTCCATTTTTTTAGGTTCTCGGAGATGTGAAGCCTCTGGTTGAAGATATCAGCGATAAAAATTAATGCGTAGTGTTTTCTAAAAGAGAGAGCAGAGTCGTATTATTAAAAATATTTAAACACATGCATGAACCAATTCAACAGGATGATATATTATAATAACTGTTATAAACTCACCACAGCTTGAAGCGTCTCTGATACATGAGAACGAGACCCTGCAGGTTTGACTGGATCATGAGAGACTAGAGTGAAATAAAGGAAACAGACCTGTGATCATATTTACATACATTAGAAAATCATGAAATCATGAATTCATCAGGGCAGTGAGAGTAAATGTAATAAAACACTTACGATCTGGTTTTAAATTCTCCATGCTGCTGTGTCTACGTTTCAGTGACTCTCTTGATTCACTTGTTTGTGACTCTTCCAGTCTGTTCTCTATCTCTTCTCCTTGTTTTTCATTTTCAGTGATATCTTTCATTTCTCTCTACAATGTATAAAGACTATTTATTTTTCTCTGGTTTAAAGTAATTTACATAAAATGCAAAATGATGATTGTGCAAGTCAATATATAGGCCTACAGCATTTATAATCTGACATTAGCAAAAAAAATCCAGAGAGTATCCTGGTATCAGGGTACTTAATGTTCTGATTTTGTTGTACAACTAAAATCTTCCCTAAATTTAATTAGATCACGACAGTAGATCAGTAAAATGAGATTTCATAAGTAAAAATTTACTTTTTCCATAAAGAAATCGTGCATATTAGCTGAATTCGCTGTTACTGCCGTATTGCTTTATGGTTGCCAGAGAGTGGCTATAGATACTAAAATATTGATATTGATAGATACTATAGATATTAAAAGGCTACTTGCCATTTTGAGTCAAAACATCCCAGACCCTTTTCTCTACAATGTTTTGATCCGAGTACAATGACTCTGCAGAACAAAATGGGCGTTTTTTTTCTTTCTTCTTTTATTATTATTATTTGCAAAAAAAAAAAAAAAAATTATATATATACATATATATATACACACACACACACATATATATATATATATAACGTGCTATGCTTCTCGAGCACCCCTAATAAACGTCTCTAAATCATTATTTTTTTTTTTAGTTATAAATTCTATTCATTCGGAAATGTCATTCGCGATAGTAGCTACACCCTCTGAATGGGAACTGCGTTGGTCTAGAAAATACTCATAAAACATTTTATTTATGGTTATTGTTGGAGAGACTTTTGATTTTCAGGATCTGATTCAGACTGGGAACGAGTGAACCCCCTGGGTGCCGGTTAGAGCACAATAATTATATAAGGATGAGGACAGCGGTGATCAGGTTTAGGGAATGTATTGATAGGAGATTATCAATGACAGGCAGCAGAGGCATTAGTCTGGAACACAAGAAATACAATAAAGGATAATGAATAACTAACAATAACTAGGCATATACAATTATAACATCCATTGGTAAATAAAGACAGCCAAAGCATACTAAATCCTCATCATTAACATGGTTTTGTGAAATATACAATCCAAGAAGGGAAAAAAGGTATCACATTGTACATTATAAGCCATAAGCGATCATCTGACATGATAAACATTACTCCATATATAGATATAATCGTTTGGCATCATGAACAGCTCGAAATGTCAAATCATAAAGGTATCATTGAAAACCAAAACAGTGAAATACATCTCAATAAAGAAGAAATAATCACATATATAACAGCATCATTCATCTAAACTAACAGAAACAACGGCTGTGGGCATGTCTGGACGTGTGTGACGCAGTTATATATACCGATCTCCATTGACACAAAAATAAAGCAAACAGACTTACTTGTAGGTCAATGACTAACACCTCAAAGTAACTTCTGCAGGAAATATCAGAAATAAACAGGAATTAACGTCCATTCAGCGTTCAACAACAGCAGCGGCTCAACTCTAGTGTTGGGTCGTTCTTGAACGATTCGTTAATTTTGAACGAATCTTTAATGTGACTCGGGAAGAACGAGTCGTCTCGGGGAGTGATTCATTCAGTCGCGCATGCGCAATATCCTATAGGTTCTGTACTGGAATTAGTCAAATAGTTCACCTGTTTTGAGTCTTCGGGTTTTTCATCACGTGACAACCCCATAAGCTTTAACCAATGCAGTCTGATCCGGAAAGAGAATTGATTAGTTCATCTCTCGAGTCTTCGGGCCTGCCCTTTCGGGCACAGACTAAATACTGGGTGTTTCAGGTCTGACGACATCAAGCGGGCGTATTTTAATGCCAAGGCTCCCAAAGATGATGATCCCCTAACAAGGTACCCCCCTACCTAAATTACAAATAAATAAATAAATACATACAGGCATAAAATACAGAACCGTCTTTATAAGAGCAGATAATATTGTAAGGTAAATTTATGATATGTTGAATAATTGTCATTTATATCGACTAAAGACTTTTATATCGTACTAAAGAAAAAAAAAATTTAATTTGTTTTTTACACACTGATAGATTTAACCTACTAACCTAAAGAAAAAATATTTTGATTCAATTCAGATTTATTTTTATAGCATATTTTATAATAAATATAATTTCAAAGTGGTTCTACTGAGAATACTCCCTTATAAAATACAACATACCATTAGGATTTTTTTTCTGTTCAGCAGCTGTTTCAATGTATTATATTCATACATATTTTAAACAAATCATCATGGACACTCTCAAAACAGCTCTACAGGAAAATGAAGCAAATGAGTCATCTGAAATAATTCACATCAGCTTACCACTTGAGACAGCTCACCAGCACCACACGATTTCAGTAGAAAGCGGATACACAAGAAATATCCACCCTCTTGTGAAGAAGAAAATTCAAGAGTATGTATCTCTAGGAATTACATCTGTGCCTTTCCTTAAGAAAGTGCTTCGACAGTTTGTGAACACTGAACTCTCGCCTTCAGATTGTGTCATCCCAAAGTCACATGATCAGTGCTACTTTCCAGCTAGCCATACCATTCAAAATCATGTGCATTTGGCCTTAGTAGCAGGAAAGTACTCTGGTCTTGATCAGCTTAATTTGGAAATAAAGCTGAAGAAATGGAAAGAAGATGATCCTACTGCACATTTTTTTTTCAGAAAATGCTCAGAGGCCCAAATCGTAGACATTAAAAAATCATCCCAATATGGTGATTGTGTCAGTAAAATTGAAGATAAGGAGCCTACCATGCAGAACACATTTTTATTTGTACATCAGTCCCAAGAACAGCAGAGACTTCTGAAACGATACGGAGACATGGTTCTCCTGGATGCCACCTACAGAACAACAAAATATGCCTTGCCACTTTTTTTAGTAGTTGTCAGGACAAATGTTGGCTACAAACCTGTTGCAGAGTTCATCTGTGAAAATAAGTCCACCATTGCAATCTCTGAGGCCTTGTCCTTGATAAAAAAAATGGAATGATGCCTGGAATCCAAAATATTTCATGACTGATTACTGTGAACAAGAATACCAGGCACTTCAATTGGTCTTCCCACATGCTCACAAATACCTGTGTTCTTTCCATCGAGAGCAAGCCTGGATTCGCTGGACAAGGGAAAGTAAGAATAGTTCTCTTTTTAATATTAATGTTGTGATGGACTAGGAATGTCTAGATTTTAAAGTTCTCTAAATCTTTCTTTTCTTTATGATTGATGTAGGATCTATGTCTCACAACAGACCCACCTACCACACACACACAGTTTTGTATATAAAAAATATTTGATAAGTAGAAAGTTCAAAAGAATAGCATTTATTTGAAATTGAAATCTTTGGTAACGTATCTTTACTGTCACTTATAAGTAAATTCATAAAAGTTAATTAAAATATATATACTTACTGACCCCAAACTTTCAATCTGTAATTTATAATGTTACAGAAGCTTTCTATGTCAAATAAATGCTGTTCTTTTGAACTTCCTATTCATCTGAATTCTTTTAAAAAAAGTTGAAATTGTTCAAAAAAACTGTTTTCAACATTGATAATAATCAGAAATGTTTCTTGAGCAGCAGATCAGCATATTATACTGATTTCTGAAGATCATGTGATGCTGAAGACTGGAGTAATGATTCAGCGGTGATCACAGCAATCAATTACATTTTATGTATGTATATGTGTGTGTGCCACACACGCATTTGTATTTATACTTTATGTATGTAGATTTTTATAGTTTTATAGTTATATATTATAAAAAAATTAAGTAATTTAATTATTTTATATTTAATTTTAATTATTTTAAATATAAATGTGTGTGTGTGTATATAGAGAGAGAGATGCACATGCATTTATACTAATATATGTAAATGTTTTGAAATATATAATTAACATGTTATAAAATTATATACAAATTATAAATATATAAAATACATTTATTTATATGTAAGTGTGTGTGTGAGAGAGAGAGAGACCAACAGTGTCAGTGTTTGGAACCAACAGTGATATGAAATACATTTCCCAAGTATCAATGTGCCACATGAGTTTTTTTTCTTTTCTTTCCCCACTGTTTGATGTTAGACGTGATAATCATTCTTGTTTGAAAATGTGCGAAAACTAAACAAAGTGCCGCTTTCACGTTCGCGGGCTTCACACGGAGCGTGTAAACTGCGCATGCTCCTTGACCTTGCGATTAAACCACGCCCGCGTGATGTCGTCAGACCTGAAACAGTCTGTGGTTTTTGGAGTCACTCGTTCATCACGTGACAGACCCAGAAGCCTATGCAGACTGAGCCAGAAAGAGTCTTAATAATAATAACCAACTCTTTATTACCTTTGTTACAACATTCAGTGTTATGGGAAATAACCATCATGACAGAAATTCACACATTTAGAAACTGTAAGAAGTAAAAAGCTACAATTTGAGACCAGAAACGCATCAGTAACTGTAAGAGTAAATAATAATTATAATAATGATGATAACTATGTACCCGTTTGTAAGGAAGCTTGTAAATTAACTAATTTCTCTATCCAATGCTGTCACGTCACGTGACAAAAGAACGAACGATTCGAAAGACTCGAGAGATGAACTAAGCAATTCTTAATCAGAATGTGCTGCATGGAAAAAAATCTGTCTTTATTAAAAACTGGTTTGACAAAGGTGTAATTTTTGTTTTAGATTTGTTAAAGAAGGTTGGTAACTTCTATTCCTATTCTAAATTTTCAGACATCTTTGAAGTGGATACCTCACCTAGAGTGTATGAATGGGTTATTAATTCTATTTCACCTAAACTGTTACATTCAGTTAGGGATTGTTACAGATCTTCAAAATGTGAAATGCCAAAAATTTGTATTGGAGGTCTGGAGCTTTCTAATGTTAAATGTAACAATTTCTGGATTAGAAAAATCCTTATTAAGAAGTTTAGTTGTCATCCTAAAGCATTTTATAAGTGGAAAATAAATTACCCTTTTCTTTCTACTATTAAAATATGGGCAATCATTTAAAATATAAAACATTGTTATTTACAATACACTGCATGGTTTTTAAACTCACCGCTAAACTTTAACAATGTAATTCTAATTCTTATAATTCAATATGCTACTTTATCTGTCTTTTTGCTGTATTGTACACATACATCTCCCTTGTCTGCAAACATAACAGCAGGAAAGATTTTGTGAATCCAGCACCAAAAATACACGATATGATGATATGTGACATTACCACCAGAGGAGCTCCATAATATCTGTGCATCAGTAGATATTAAAAGTGAAAACAGCTAAAGAAAGACACAGAATCGTCATCATTTTTCATGGTGTGTATTTGCTTCCATTACAATAAATCACAATAATAAAGTTAATCCTAAATAAGATTTCAAATAATAAAAAAATAATGCCAGTAACTAATGATAAGAAAGTGTTACATGTATTCTCACTCCAAGATGCTATAAGCCAGAGCATCTTACAAAAACATTATGTACAATTTACAAGAGACACTTCTTTGGTTTTCAGAAAATAAAAACAAACGTTCAGCTTAAGATACACAAAAAGTTAAAAGTGCAGGCAATAAAGTGCAGAAAATACAAAAAAATACAGAGAGATAAAAATGAAAAAGTAATTCTCATTTTGCAGTGCCAATTATTCATCATTTGGATTGATTGGTGACTGTGGCACCTTTGTGCATGTCATACACAAAAATATGCAACAATCTAGTGACTGATCCCCTGTCAGATACTGGAGTTTAAGGTCCTGTTGTTTTCTAAAGCAGCAAGAATATTCATGAACAAGTGTTAGCCAGCACTAAAATACATCCTTGAATGTAATGATGAATTCATGTAATTAATAATACCAGTAAAGTGAACTCACCTCATCCTGGACCTTCTGGTACATCAGTATGAGACTTTACAGCTCTGACTGGATCATGAGAGACTGCAGATAAAGTAGTTAGGTTTAAGTCAGCTTCATAAATGAAAAGAGTAACATTACAGTAATGGAAAATAAGACTTCTATTTGTTCATCAGGGCAGTTCATGTGTAATATAATACTTACAGTTTGGTTCCAGACGCTCCATGCTGTTGCATCTAAGAAGATTCACTGTGTTTGTATCTCTCAATACTTTGGATTGTGACACTTTCAGATTGTTCTTCATCTGTGTCTTCTCCTTGTTCCTGTACTTCTGATGACCGAACTGCACTTTACTGGGCATCATTTTCTTCTCATCCTTTCTCACAATTTCCACTTTACACTTTTGTGATAAAAAAACACCTGTTTTAAACAAAAATGACATCAAATTTAACATTTAGGCAACACGTGTGTATGTTTCTTGAATACAATCCTAAATAATATTTGTAACATCGGGTGCCAACATGTCATAATCATTTCTGTGGAGATTCTAAATTACCGAGACTAACAAACATATAGTACAGACTATATTACTGTATGGTTTTTACTGATTTTATAAATTTGTCTGTAATAGCCTAAACAAACAAAACATGCCTTACAATTTAATAAAAATAAACACTTAATATACAATTAATATTTAATAAGTGACATGTGGCCAAGTATAGTGACCCATACTCAGAGCTCTGCATTTATCCCATCCAAAGTGAACACACACCCGGAGCAGTGGGCAGCCATTTATGCTGCGGCGCCCGGGGAGCAGTTGGGGGTTCGGTGCCTTGCTCAAGGGCACCTCAGTCATGGTATTGAAGGTGGGAGAGAGCACTGTACATTCACTCCCCCCACCTACAATCCCTGCCGGTACCAGACTCGAACCCACAACCTTTGGGTTATGAGTCCGACTCTCTAACCCATTAAAACCCACCCATGTGTCGAACAGCAGACTACAGATTTTAGCCTAGGATTATAGGAATCTTTTAGGATTTTCAAAATTTCTCCCAGACGACCAAATCGTGGCCAAAATCGCAGTGTGAGCCAACTTCACGAGGCGTACTTGCTGTTAAGCTACTTAAAAATTAGGACGGCAAAGTCAAGAGGCAGTTTTGTGCAAAGTAGTGTTTCATTAACAGATTGAGACCATGGTAGCATGTTATGATAATTATTCTAAAACTCGAAGCAGTAATCAATTACTTTAAGAACAGCACAATGAGAGAATAACTCACAGAGCCGCAGTGAACACACGTCTCCTGTTTACAACAATATGCAGCACGCGAGGACTCCGAGGAACCGGAAGTGTGAAAGCTAAAGTATACTTCGACCAGCGTCCGCTTAATGTTACATTCTACGGTTGTATATCTCGAGAGTAGAACAGTCTTCTCTCTTATTGGCTGTCAAGTCAAGTAGGTGTCGCTCTTCTTTTGCATTCGTCATTTTCGTCACCAGGAGCTCTGGACAAATACCAAGCACTCTCCTATGGCGACTCCGCCCCCTCGGAGGTCTGATTTGCACAAATTACAAATACATTAACATTCAAAGGCTTCAATAAAAACATATTTCGTTTCGTTTGTAAGTGTCTTCTATTCAGTTCTAGATGGTCGCAATTTTTGACGGTTTGGGCACATACATTATTAGTAACTACGTAAATTAGGATTCAATATAATGCTTGCATTAAGTAAGTTCCTTTTTCCAAGTTGATTAAAATAAACAGTTAAGTCCACCTGACTTCTTGACCGACTAACCAGCTCAGGGGAACTTAAGAAGAGTTAAGTGGTACAAAATAGTCGAAGGCCTAATGGTTAGAGAGTCGGACTCATAACCCAAAGGTTGTGGGTTCGAGTCTCGTACCGGCAGGGATTGTAGGTGGGGGGAGTGAATGTACAGCGCTCTCTCTCACCTTCAATACCACGACTGAGGTGCCCTTGAGCAAGACACCGACCCCACCAAATGCTCCCTGGGTGCGTTAAGTGGTTAACCACCTCTCCGGGTGTGTTCACTGCTGTGTGTGTGTGCACTTTTGATTAGGGATGGGCGTATCGATCCAAAGTATCGATATATCGATACTGACGCGAGTATCGAAAGTATCGATACTCAAACAAAAAATATCGATACTAAGGTGTGTTTTATTTACCAGTGATTTTGTTTATTTAACAAAAAAAATAATTCGTACAATATGCATTGAATTGGACGAATAACCTTTGTTAGCGAGTAATTGTGTAGGATAGAACTATTTTCCTGCTCATCTGAATCGGTATCGATATCGACGATACTGCCTTGAAAAATATCGGTATCGTATCGAAAACAAAATAAGTGGTATCGCCCATCCCTACTTTGGATGGGTAAATGCTGAGCACTAATTCCTAGTATGGGTCACCATACTTGGCTACATGTCACGTCACTCAAAAGATTTAGTTCTGATTTAACACTGACTTTAAGTCTTTATTACCTGTAAGTTGAGAATTCTTATGAACACGTATACAAATGGATTCATTTGTGGGTGATATTTCATCCAGATCAAAGTTCCAACCACAAAGTACTTGTTGAAACTGAATTTGACGGTTTCCTCACATAAAGTTTCTCCACAATTGCCCCCAGAAATCACAAAACAAGGGTGGGAAATGTGAGAGGTTTTATTAGTGTATTATACTTACAAGTAACTTATACACTAATATCTCAACCCAACACAAACACATGATCTTACAAATAAAAACATCTTTAAAAAAAAATTAACAATAAAATCTGAAAAGATGATGACCAGGTGTTTAAATAATAGTTAATGGCTCTCCCAGACTATCTTAACATATTTTCAAAAGTATTTTCAATGTGAAAAGCAGACTTTTATCCTATACTACACTGAATCTGTGCTTGAAAACATTAAGTACACTTCTTTTTTCTCCCACAATGCACCGGCAGCACAAACTCACGCTGTTGCTGGATCAGCTCTGTATGGATTAAGCAATTCATATCACTGGGCTCATCAGTATTTTTTGTAATTTAGATAAAGCTTCTGTTAGTGCAAACACTAAACAACAAGAACTCTATTTGCAAACACAACACTGTGATGTAGCAATAACTCAAGATATAGTTGGAAAGGTCTTATATTCTGTAATCGAATCACTAAAGGTTCCTCCTATTCAATCAGAAGTCTCTCTCTCCTTGACCAATCACAGCTGGCCGTATTAATTAAAACACCCTGTCAAACTCTGATTGGCTGGTGGTGGCAGGGTTTCTGTTCTGATTGGCTGGCTGCTGGGGCATGTGACCTCTCCTGCGTGGCGAATACTTCAGTCTGAGACTTTAAACATCACAGTGACAAATCTGAGCCTGTTTCTTTGTCATATTTACATCAAATAATCTGGGAATTGATGATTATCCTTGGTTATCCTTGATGATAACCAGGCAAACTGTATGTTGTCTCACCTTGTTTCTGTGTATGTAGTAAAGTCCATTCAGCAGCATCTGCATCACCTTCTTAATCTCAGCCAGAGTGAATTTAACATTAGCGTTACTCAGCAGTCCAGCGAGGTCGTGCTCACAGAAATCAAACACTAGATAGATGCTGCCCTTGTAACGGTTAAACTGGGTGGCTGGAGGGAAAGAGGAGAAAAATAAACGTTTATAATAATCCATATTCCTCCAATCAAAAGCAAGACCGTGTAATTTAACACACTGTCTAATGTTTGATTTAGGGTGAGTAACAGGAACTCTAGTCATAGTTACAGGGATCCAACACTTTTTGACTAATACATTTTAATGATTACTGGAAGAAGGGCCAATCACATCAAAGGAAGGACGATAACTGATTACTATACTGATCAATATAACTTTAAAGTTTAACGACACTGAGGAATGATATTGTTGGAATCACTTTTTTCAGCTGATGAACAATAAACACAGTCAATCAGAATTGACAGACTTTAAAGAGCTCATGCATTTAAATCGACAGACGATATGCAGCATGTGTATAATAAACCGAACTCTTTTATCTCTTAAAAATAATTTTGCAGAGAATGCTTTCTCCGATAAGAAATAATTGTGCAAATGTCTCCAATAAGACCCTCGATGGACAGACTGATATTAATCACACCTGCTTGTCTAACTCATGAAATATTCAGCAGAGCAAATAAAAATAAAAATAAATTATTTTTAAGTGTCCATAATTAAAAAAAAATAATAATTTAAATGAATTTTCCAGGTATATTCCTTGATAATTCCAGATTTTCTATGACTGTGTGAATTTGTAGATCAGCACATTAATGTTTTTTATGCTAAATTTCCATCTTATGACAGCAGATACACCACAGAAAGGCTTAATAAAGACAAGACTGTGTAGGTCTTCACCTTTTGTCCTGCAGATCTCAATGAGGTTCACCACATTCTCATGTTTGAGCAGCTGTAGGATCTTGATCTCCCTCAGAGCTGTGATGGGAAACTGAAGAGAACACCCCAAATATGTACTTTTAATCAAGACTCCAAAATTGTGTAACTTGATTTCAATGTAGGATGGAGCTTTATGTTCTCACCCCTTCTTTCTCATTCTCCATAAGTACTTTTTTTAAAGCCACTTTCTTCCCCGTCTGTCTGTGTTTGGCCTTGAACACCTCCCTACAGACAGAATACATCACTGAAACACTCAACCTTATGGGTAATCCAACCAGCAATCACACTTGTTACTTCTAAACCAAAATATAGCATGAGGTTTAAAGGAACAGTTCACCCCAAATTACAATTTGCTTAAGATTTACTCACCTTCAGGCAATCCAAGGTATAGATGAGTTTGTTTCTTCATCAGATTTGGAGAAATTTAGCATCACATCACTTGCTCAGCAATGGATCCTCTGCAGTGAATGGGTGCCGTCAGAATGAGAGTCATAAAAACATTACAATAATCAACAAGTAATCCACACCACTCCAGTCCATCAGTTAATGTCTTGTGAAAAGCAACATGTTTATAAGAAACAAATCCATCATTAAAATGTTTTTACCTTTAAATAGTTGCTTCTAGCCAAAATACGAGTCCACAATACATAATAACGAAACATTTTATACTGATTTCACTAAAATAGCTCTTGATCGGTGTATATTTCTCTCCTGTTTCAGATGAAATTTACTGGAGAAAACAATATTATGGATAGACGAATCAGTCTGAAGTTAAAAACATGTTGATACCTTTCTTTTCTTTTTTATAAACATGCAGTTTTTCACTTCACAAGACATTCGTTGATAGACTTGAGTGGTGTGGATTACTTGTGGATTATTGTGATGTTTTTATCAGCTGTTTGGACTCTCATTCTGACGGCACCCATTCACTGCAGAGCATCCATTAGTGAGCAAGTGATGTAATGCTACATTTCTCCAAATCATGAAGAAACAAACGTATCTATCTACATCTTAGATGGCCCGAGAGTGAGTACATTTTCAGCAAATGTAAATTTTTGGGTGAACTATTAACCTTTAAGGACATAGTTCTCTATAAACATCATATCATTGTTTTCCTGACAGTGGATTACAGCAGTAATAAACATTAAGGCTTAAGCTAAATTTACTTACACAAGCACCAAATACTCACCCGAAGGTGCCCTGGCCGATCTTTGCCAGCTTCTCATATTTAGAGAACTCATCACAGAAGGGAAACTCGACCCCATCATAGTATTTAGACATGATGGCGGTCTCTCTGTCCGGCCTAAACACACACAGCAGGCATATTTGTGTTTTATACACGATGAAGAGCTATGTTTACAAGCTGACGTTCTTCCATTGAGATAATTATAATGACAAGACTCGTACAGATGCATTTGGGCAAATTTATGTTTTAAATACGACCATATTTAGTGTTTTAAGAGGCTGTTTTGGTTGTGTGGGTGATTTCGTGTTCTTTATTCGGCCCGACAAAGACAAAAAACCCAAACCACACGCACAAATATCAGCTTTACACCGTCATTTAAAAGACTAACTACATTTAAGCAGCACAAACATGTGCTTGACATGTTAAACATAAACAAAATCGAGTTTTTAATACTTTAAATGACTGATAAGAGATAGAATATTATTAAAATATTCGTACTTATCCCCACCGCTGGCACTTCCGGTTTTGTCGCGCTGCATCCTTGCTGTTCCTCTGCGGTCCGCAGGACGGATTCCACCGCGGAAAGAAAAAAAACTCTACCGCCACCTGCCGCCCGGAAGATCCACAGTTATTACACAACGCTACTCTGCGGTCAAAGGTATTTTAAAACATTTTTTATTGTTCTGTAGGTCGAAATCTATTATTAATGATTATGTACTAAATGTTCACATATATGACGCTTATAAATTATCTGTCATTAACCAAACTGGAAATTAGAAACTGTATATGCATACAAATAAATAAAAAGTATTATATAATACAGACACAAAATTCTTCAGTTTTTCCTTTGTATTTATTTTCCATCTGTTATGTACAGTACTCATATTTTTAATAGCACTTTAAGACAAGGGTGGTATAATATTTATTGATCAAAACTAATTTCTAGTCACATTATTGTTATATTAATTATCCAATCTTTCATATATAACAAATTATCCCAAAACCAAGTTACCATATTCAAAAATCCAGGTTGCATTTGAAAATAGTTTGTATCTAGACTACACAATTTCCTGTCTACTACAGTACATAAAATGCTACAAAAAAAATTAAGTTACATTAATATTCAAAACATAAAAAGTCATATTTGACACTCCATTTTTATACACCTCCAGTCCTCTAATGTGTATACACACACAAAACATTTAACATTTTTATTCACTGTGAACGGATGTGGGCACCGCAATGTTGACATGCTTTGAAAATCGTTTTGCATCCACTTATGAATGCAAACTTTCCCATGCATGTGTGATAAATGACATTAATATTACGTTATTAGAGAACAGTGTTTAATATATGGAACCATTATTTCAGTGCAATAAAAAATAATAACACAAACACTGATGAACAGGCAACCTGACTTTCTATTTCATCAATGGAAAGATCCAGTTAAAAACACCAAAATTGTAGTGTAAAACAAAGAAGCTTACACAGAAAATGAACTGAATGCACTTCAAGTACTTCAAATTAAAGTATCCCATTAATGTAATCATAAACAGCTCAAGTAGATTCGGATTTATGTGCTTTTTATATAAACTGATGAACCGGTCCGATGCTCTTCAGGATATAGAATGCATGGATTCTAGAAGAAAAGATTTCAACCATGATTTGAAGTAAATCTTCTAATACTGAACTGTTAAAGAAATAGTTCACCCAAAAATGAAAATTTGCTGACAATTTCCTCACCCTCACGTCATCCAAGTTGTAGATGAGTTTGTTTCTTCATCAGAACAGATTTGGAGAAATTTAGCATTACGTCACTTGCTCACCAATGGATCCTCTGCAGTGAATGGGTGCCGTCAGAATGGGAGTCCAAACAGCTGATAAAAACATCACAGTAATCCACACTACTCCAGTCCATCAGTTAACATCTTGTGAAGAGAAAAGATGCATTACTGTAAACAAATCCATCAAGACGTTTAACTTTAAACCTCTTTCCGGCTAAAAAAAAAAATCCTTCTCCAGTGGAAAAAGTCATCTCGTCTGAATCAGGAGAGAAATATGCACAGATCAAGCATCGTTTACAAGCCAAAAATGTTATAAATAAATATGTGGTTGGATTTTGATGTGAAAGGGGAACAAGGGATGGACTTTTCCAAGGGAGGAAGCATTATTATGGATATTTTAGCCGAAAGCAATGGTTTAAAGTAAAAACCCTTTAGTGATGATTTGTTTTTTTTACAAACACGCAGCTTTTCACTTCACAAGACATTAACTGATGGACTGGAGTGGTGTGGATTACTTGTGGATTATTGTGATGTTTTTATCAGCTGTTTGGACTCTCATTCTGACGGCACCCATTCACTGCAGAGGATCCATTGGTGAGCAAGTGATGTAACGTTAAATTTCTCCAAATCTGATGAAAAAACAAACTCATCTATACCTTGGATGACCTGAGGGCGAGTACATTTTCAGCAAACCTTCATTTTTGGGTGAACTACTTCTTTGAGTACCGAAACAGAGGATTCAGGCACTAGGTGGTGCTCTTGCTGTGTTTGGCTGGCTGTCTGACACTGCAGACACGTGCATATGTCCATTATGAGTTTAAAGAAGGGTCCAAGTGTTTTAAAGCCCCTCCCACCAGGTGTAAACTACCTGTGATGAGGACGTGTATGCTTACAGCCTCTCGGAGTGGAGCAGCTTTCGTGTTTATGCTAGGTTTAACAGGTATGACACATTTGTTTGGGTCCGACAGAACAGAGTCTCTTCCCTGACTGATCCACTGCAGGGCGCTGAGGATGCAGGGAAACACCAGTGTGTCCGTGTGTCTTTCTGCCACCAATGGCAAACCACCTCTGATCAGAAGCTCCGCCTCTGGCTTCTCCTCCTGGCCATTCAGAACGCGCCAGCTCTGCTGGTTGTCCAAGCAACGTGAGAGCATGTTTTCCACGGAAACATTAAAGTTCTGTTGGTCTGAAAGATAGAGTACGTTAGCAAAATATCACTACACCTTCTACATTGGCAAAATAAAACTACTTTGCAATGCAGCATTCTAATCAAAATAAAAACGTGTGATTTGATTTGAAAATCTTCATGCTAAAAGTGTTGTGTAGTTAGTCAGCACTCTTCACAGTTTTTAACAAAGAATTTGGTCCTGAACCACTTTAAACATCTATCATCACCTCTTATTGATTGACTAGATCTCATATCATCTTCTGCCTCTGGATCTCTTACACAGGACGGTGACTGGAAGCATCTCTTACCTGCATTACAGGTCGCTATGGCCTCCGTGATGTTCGGACAGAACACAGCAAAGTCAAAGTGACAGGGCTAAAAGAAAAAACACACTCATTAACACTCAATACAAATAATACAAACAAACATGAGTCTGGTTAACTTAGTGCAGATTAATATGATTAAAAAAATGTGAACTGATAACTCACTACGAGCAGTTTGAGCATAGCGGCACAGTCTCTCTCTCCTGTAGCATTGAATAAGAGGACCCTCACCACCGAACCCCTACAAACACAAAGAGCACTAAACACCAACAAAAATTACCCACTGTCTGCGGATATGCACAGTTCAAGAACCAATGCACGGCTCCACTGATTATATTCTTGAGTTTCTACTACATGCCTTTAGATTTGCATTTAAACCTTTCAGTCTTAATCAATAAAGATATTTTAGAAAACAGTTCACAACTTCCCTGGGAATTGAACCCATGACCTGGCGTTGGTAATGCCAGTAACACCATGCTCTACTGTCTGAGTTCCTGGCCCTGAATACAAATAAAAGAGTAAGGCCTTCTCACCCAGCGTTTCTCTCGTGTTGTGGTGTGACTTCGTTGAACCAGCGGACACAGGCCAGCATGCTGCGAGTAGTATGAGCTCCATCCAGGAAATACGTCACAGGACTGTGTTGTAGCGTCTGATTGCGCCCAGGCCACTCAGTCTCTGCAAGACCTGTGAAAACATCATATACTGTGTGTGTGAATATACATACAGTATATACACACAAATTTATTCACACAAAAACTACAATTGCTAAATGCACTATGACCTTTCCAAGGCTTTAGCACTTAGTAATTTTGTAACAATAGTGATTAATATCAGGACAAGTAACCGAAAGGCTGCAGGTTCAAATTAGAGGTCTACACGGAGGACCCGAGACCCGAGGACCCGACCCGGGATCCGTACGGGTTCGGGGCTACATTTTAAATGGTCAGTCGGGTCCAGGTCGGGTGCCAATCTATTACTTCGGGTCCCGGGCTGTTTAACATTGTGAGTCGATCGGACTCTGAGAACGCCCGGCCGTTATCAGTCAGTCAGCGCTGTGCGTGTGTTGTTTTGTAACTTTCAACTTGTAAAATTAGGATGAGAAAAGTGTGAGTCGGTAATTTGAAATAAGACAAATTATTTCAAAGAAATAATTAAATAATAAATAATATTTAAAGAAAAAAAAACACGAGCGATGTCATCAGAAGCAGGGTGGGCGGAGTTAATGCACACGCACAGTGATAATGGATACCTTCATGAGTGATGCGAGTTATTATTTCAACTTTTAAAATTAGGATGAGAAAAGTGTGAGTCGGTAATTTGAAATAAGACAAATTATTTCAAAGAAATAATTAAATAATAAATAATATTTAAAGAAAAAAAAACACGAGCGATGTCATCAGAAGCAGGGTGGGCGGAGTTAATGCACACGCACAGTGATAATGGATACCTTCATGAGTGATGCGAGTTATTATTGATTATTTTTTAAATAATATTATGAATGAACCGTCTTGTTGTTATTTCTCATTTTTGCTCAGACTCGGCTCAGAGAGCACAGAGATGATAGCAAATAAGTAAAGCTAACGTCAGCAGCCATGGCACTGGACGAGCAATCGTTATTATAATCCAAATGGGCAAACAGTCTAAATTATTATGCAAGTTGACTCGAGATACAAAAACTGCAAAACTGCAAAGTCGCATTTGTCAATCGTCACCGTGACAGCAAGTGGACTTTTGAAACTGGAATAACACATTTCAATTGGCAAGAGAGGATTAACATGGATGGAACTTTCTTGGGAAGGAGGATTGCGTGCATCACAGTCGGGTACAAGGGAGAAGGCTTCTTACATTAGGTAAGACAAAAAATTTAATTTTCACAACTTGTTTATCGACTTGTTAATAGCAATTTGCTGTGGAATATGTGCCGATCGGGTCCAGTCGGGTCTGTGTCTTCCCGGCCGGGTTCGGGTCCATCTTTCAAATAATTGCCGGTCCGTGTCAGTTCCGGGTAGTACATTTTTGACATTTCTCGGTTCTGCACGGGCCCGGTTCCAACTTTCAAAATAACAGACGGGTCCGAGTCGGTTCAGTGTAGCACACATTTACGGGTCTCTTCGGGTTTGGGAAAATTTTTCGAATTTTTGGACCCGTGTAGACTTCTAGTTCAAATCTCTTAATATGTACACTCTCATAAGACACTGAACCCCAGATTTCTTCATGGGTAATAACCTCAAAATAAGTTTAGTTAAAAGTGACTATGCTGTCTTCTAAAACACCTCATCTAAGTCTAATTTTAAGGCAACATCAAATGTATCCTTCATAGAAAACGGCAA